AATGGAATTTTGGTCTGTAGCACCTACACCAAACACCCTGTATATTTAAAAATTATATCAAAATATAGCTCTCATGAACTCCTAAAACTTTTGTATGAAACATTTTTGTGTATCTCCTTCAACAAACCAGATATTGCCTGTCACATAAAATGTGGGACACCCGGTATATAGATTATATAGAGTTTTTCAAAAGCAAGGTTTTATTCATAGATTTATCTACATCAAGTCTTTCATATGGAATTCAGACTATAGTATATCCTTTAAGGCATACAGTCTCATCTTTTTCTTTGATCTCGAGCCGTTTCTGAGAATAAGAACGGTCTGGAGGATAACCAATCTCTATAATGTCTATCCTTGCCATGATGTGTATGCTCCTTAATTCTCTGCGAAAGGGTTCTCTACCCCTGACCAATATGAAGTTCTACTTCAACTACTTTCGAAAAACTCACTGGAGGTTACACGTATTTCCATGCAACACAAACAATATACGTTTATCTGAATGTTCTCTCCTCCGTCATTTGTCAAATGACGTGAATCCGAAACAAGGATGATGAATGTTTCTATCGCAAATTTTGGGTTTAGGAGTTACGAAAACTTTCATGCTTGAAAAGCGCGATTTTCAGCTCTTTCAATTACCTATATTGACCCACCCCTGACTCCCATTATCCCCGTAAAACACTACACTAATGAACAGTGTATGAAGGTGGAAAAAGCGTGACACACTGTATAAATATACATTTTTTATATTTTCACGGGTTCGAATTATATATCAGTCCGGGCCTGCCCACCGACAGGTAAGAGATAAGCGATTGATACGTCTCCACTTTGGTTATCTTCGTTACAATCGGACAAATCGTTTGTTTTCCTGGGTCTTGTCTAGACTACAATCAGCTCAAAGGTAGGAGTAAGAAATCCGAGAAGGCGCCGTATAATTTTCTGAAGAGCTCGTGTTTTTTAACAGTAAGAAGATCTTCTCCTTCCCGAGATTTGTAGATCACAACTGATTATATCATGAGAGTCACACTGTATAATCCTTAATGAGATACTTATGAGGACTGGTCAACTTTCTGCATCATGGCTCAATAGAAATTGAAAAGTGCTGTGTACAAGAAATGATGAGACATTTCAGGACATAGGATGAATGAGTATTCTGATCAAAACATTTACAAGGCAATAAAAATAGCTAGATCTATTCTATTCCTTGCTTAAACTGTGGTACGGAATACATTGGTCAAACGTCAAGATTACTTAAAGACAGAATTAGTTAACATAGAAGTGATAGTAGATTACATCCTGAGAGATGTGCTCTCAGTAACCATGTGTCCAAAGAAGGTCATAAAATGGACTATAATTCAACAAAAATGTTATCAACTGAAAGAAACACATCTAAAAGATTGTTTTCAAAAATGTCATTTATTTTACAATCCAATAATTGCCTCAACAAAAGATCAGATATTGATCACCTCAGTGAAATATATGCCTTTTTATTAGATATTGTCATCTACATGAATTCCAAACCAAGAATAATTCTGGTTTTTCATTAATATAATTTTCATAAATTTCAAACACTTTTTCTTCAACAAAAAAAAAATTCCAACCTTCCTAAGGCAGGGTTATACTTTCATTTACAACACCTCTTCACTTGTTTTCTCCTAAAGACCAATGAGGATGGTGTTCATTCAATTCAACATATTTGATTTATGGGTTTTCTCCTTGAATTACTTACAGAACAGCAAATGACTCTGATCACACTTGCACCAAAATCAGTTCTCTTTTGTTCCATGGATTATCATCTACAAACAAACACACNTGACTCTGATCACACTTGCACCAAAATCAGTTCTCTTTTGTTCCATGGATTATCATCTACAAACAAACACACCTTTTTCTAACTAAATTAAATGATAGCTGACAGTATCAATTGTTCTGTGCCTCTCTCTTTTGTTCTTCAACCTCATGGCATTTACCGGTAGCCCATAATTTTGAAACAATTACCGATATTTAGCAAATTTTAATGTAATATTCTTCTTTGTATCTTGTGAGGAGTGAACCTCTTTTATTTAGTGACTTTGTTTATTGTATTGACATGTTTCAGTTAAATGTGACATCTTTTTCGACACGGCCAACCTCACTAACAGTAAGTGAAAAATATTCACAATGTCTTCCAATTGATAAAATGAAAGTGAAATTCATGTAACAAGTTGTATGATTTGCGGTCATAATTTTCATCATAAAATTCGTTACCTTCTTATTGACTAGTCTGGGTTCCGAATTAGCCAACCGCAACAGTTCTTGGTAGTCACCCTTGCTAGCTGTTACATACCATTCCATGCACTTTTTCGGTTCCAGCTGTAACAAAATATAATTTCTTGAAATTAAACGGAAAAACAGTAGTTTTCGTAAGTGGGGGGAAACCCCGAAAGATACCATAGAAAAGCCATCTTTCGTATGGCTGACATATAAACGAAATTCTGTTCCATACTCTCCCCTACCAAAACTAGCTGTAGCTACCCAAATAGAGGGTTTTTTCACATTGAAAAACAGGGCGTGACTAATGAAATAGTTTGAAACTACATTCAGAGTACATTCACATTTTCGTGTTAATCCATTCGTCGCTTTAGTAGATATCACCAAACTGATATCATCTGCACAAGCAGTTACTGCAGAATATGGTATTTTCCTGTCTATATTATTGATATATAATAAAAATAAGAGTGGCCCATGTATAGATCCCTGGGGTACTCCCAACTAGACCGATCTCATTTCTGTTGTTGAAAATGAATTAACATCACCTTTGTCAAATTTGACCCAGTTGCACTGCATTCTGTTTCTGAGAAAAGATGAAACCCATGAATGTGAATTTTCTTTTATTCCATAACGATCCAGAATATTTAATAGTTTGGTATGGTGACCACAGTTGAAATCCTTGCTCAAGTCACAAAGAACTACAGGGGAACACTCGCCTGAGTCAAAAAATTCAATCAAGTCGTCGCAGGAAGATAGTAGTGCACTTTGAATTACTTTATCAGCTGCGATGGGAAGATGCCGTTTGAAATAGATTCACTAAAAAGGTTAAGAAGGTTCCTGAAGACCTCTTGTTCCTCATTTTACGACTGACGAGATCGAACAGCTCGTTTTCAATGAATGGTTTCAAAAATAAAGTGTGTAGATAGAAATCTATGGAATTAGTCAGATTGTCTAGATGCTATACCTTCGGAATTTTCCCCTTCAGTGCTTGGGGTGGTCTCAATGAAAAAATTGTTTAATTCAGTCACAATCTTTGCAGGATCTTCTATCAACTCACCAATCTTTTGAATAACCATATCTCCTGATGAATGTTTAACTCCACTTTAGAGTTCAGATACAACATTCCATAAAACCTTCGAACTATTCTCAGACATTCGTATTCTCCCTTGATGATAGTTTCGTTTCGTTTCTCTCACCCAATTTATATGGTTTTTCTTGTTTTTTTGTAAATATCAGCCAAAGAATGGGCATTTTTCTTGAGAAAGAACAATTACGAACGGCTTGAAATAAAAAGTAGCTGTGACTGAACTAACTAAACTTGACAGGCAAGATTGCTTTTTAGATCAAACGGAATATAACGCGACACAAAAATGAAATCGAGGTGTTGAAATATAGAAAAATGTGGGAAAATCCTTTACATCGCATTGTGTTTCATAACTCTTGATTCTAACTCGCTGGTTTACCTTCTTGGCCGGTCTATTTGTTTTTATTGCACATCAAAGTTCAGGTTTAATTGTCCATAAAAAAACTCTCTTGACACAAATAATATATTGTTCACTTAGCAGCGAGTAATAATTTATGTAAAAAGATAATTCTTCAAAATAGAAATCAGGCGTCACGAATATCCTTGGTCAATGTGTAGAATTTGATAAAGGCCGCCGTACGGAGATATTTACGTGGTCGCAATCCTTCGAACAAGACTTGGAATTCACTTTGTATGAAGCGAGTTTCATATACAAGGACAAATAAGCTTTCAAAGACACTTTTTAAGGAAGAGACACTGTTTGTCACTGATTTTTGGTTGCTTAGCCTCCCACAATCTGAAAAATTAACAAAGACTAATCTATAGATTGCCCATTTTCATCTGTCTAAAAATGTCCATATAGGACGAAACTGCAGTAACGTTAGTTACAAATAAAAGTGGTAAAAAACATAGAAATTTTCATTTCTCTTTTCAAATATTTTTTTGACTCTTTCTTTGTTTTGACGACATTATTTTTAGCCTGTTTATAGAGAATCCGGTCTTTCCTCCCTCATTAGTTAACACACATTTTTCATATGCTTTATTCCTTTCATCAGTAGCTGATCTACATGCATCATTAAACCATTGTTTATGATTTGTTTTCATTTTTTTCAATCAATGCAATCATATCAGTAGAGGAAACAATATTATGTACAAACATTTCTGAAAAAACATCAACATCACTATATGTATAACCCCAGTCTTTTTCCACAAGTAAATTTGTTAGTTCGTCATACGTGAGTGAGCCTACGGTCTGTTAGAAGACCGAGGTACTTTACCCGCGCTTGTCAGTCAATCTTCCTTCCAGAGATTCTCACTTTTCTGGCCGGAGAAGATAGCAATCTTCCCATGGTTATCGCCTAAGTCTTTTCCGGGTTCACTCGGATCTTCCAGTCCAGGTACCAGCGCTCAAAGTCGTCCAATGCACGCTGCATATAGACGACGCCGAGCTCCCGACCCATGGAAGATGAGAGGAGAGCCGTGTCATCGGCGTATAGGGATAAAGGGTCTGCACGTCATATTGATCTCTTTCAGGCTGGAGCTTAGCTCCCCTACCCTTTGAGCTGGTGGATAAAGGGTCTTTTGGAGCAGAACAGCTTTTAAACTTGTTTTAGATGCTGTGTTGCTAGATTTTGAACAATTTACTCAATGTAGGGGATATTTTTACTATCAATTTCGCATTTAGTGACCAAAAATTACCAAAGAACTGCATTACGGTCGTAAATTGGCTGTAAACTAGTGAAATTAGAGGTTTCGAATGCGATCCATCCAGAGAAGTCCTGGCGGACATTAGAACAATGATATATTCCGCACATAATGGCATCGATGGGTCTTCCAAACAAATGAAAATTTCGATATCTCACACACCCTTTACTCTATTTACCACTATAGGTAATAATAGAGATACTTAGCTTGATTGAGTAGGTGCATTTTGTTTGCTACTTGAGGATTGTCAATTTTAATTTCTTAGAAACTCAGTAATCCGGGAATCCTAGAACTTTGGAATGAACGAGCGTCCAAAATCTGCTAGGAACTTTTGTAACGGAAGATCGTATGCTCATAAAATAGTTGACATAGGCTATTTTCATTTAGTTTCACATCAAAATATCTGAATTCTATTTCAGAGTTACGTTTAAAAACCTCTCGTATGAATAATTATTCACCAGAACGTAACTGCACCGAATTCAACAAGTAGGCAACGACAACCATCCGACCGATTCAATTAATTTCTTTAATCCGCCAAGTCTAGATTACACCGAACCGATAAAAGAGTTAGTACGATACAATTTATTACATCGAAAATAGTTTCTCTCCCTTCCTCCGAGCCATCGTCGTCTCCTTCAGCAGTCAGTGTAGCAAAAGTAATTACTGCTAGACATTTTAATATTTTAATTATGTGTACCGTACCGTACGAGATACCGATCGAAAACTAAATTAATACTAGTTATAATAATTCCGCAATTAATAATCGAGATACATATCTGAGATATTGTTTGTGTATGAGAAAGAGCTGATAACTACGGGCGAACCGTTAACTTTAGTTTTTTGGAACGAAAGATCGCCCAGTCGGGGACCTCCTCTGGTGCCATTTGAATTAATGAAAGTCGGGGAATTACTTGGGGGATTTAATAGGATTTAATATTGACTACCTGTCGATGATCTGTTATACTCTAGAAACAGACTCATGGCTAAGTATCAAATGGTTTGAAAATCTAGTCATTGAACAAGCCCTCAGTCTGGTTGTTGATACCTTCATAGTATAGAACTATGGAAATACAGAATTAGCACATTTCCATCACTTCAAAAAAGGAGAAGGACGTCCACAACGAATTGCCATTGCCATTCTTAGACGTATTGGTGAAGAGGAACTGTATACCGAAAACAAGGTCGCACGGGACAATACATAAATCATGAATCCAACCACCATCAATCTACCAAAATAGGAATCATCAGGAATCTAGTGAATCATGCTTTCGGGCTCTGTAATTCGAAGTAACGTCTTAAGAAGGAACTAGGCATCATATAAGTCTTATAAGGAGTCTTATAAGGAAGATGAGCCGTCACAACCAGTGCTTGACCTTCCCTACCTCAGAGAATTGTCAGCAAGGATAAGGAGAATTTGGCCCAAGTACAGATCCGGAAACACCATCCGTAGCAGCCTCACGAGAATCAGGCCAAAAATGCGGACTGAGATTCCAAGAATTGCATTTACCGGATACCGTGTGAGTTTGGCTCATCAACATAAAGTGGTCCCAAGCTGAGATCATCCACAGAAAGGAACACTGGTTTAAGAGGAAGTTGAAAGAAGATAAATATATGGTTGTCCAAGGACGCAGCCAAGCTAGCGTAGAGATACGCAACATGTGGAAACCTTTTATCAAGCGGAAAAACGTATAACTACCACTAAACCGGTGCAGAGAGAGGGAAGAGGAGATAACGTTCGAATGACATAAAAATGGCCATATCTTGGAGGTATAGTCCCGAAGATGATTATGGATACTAACAATCGAAACATCGTGAAGTAACTTGGTTCTCAAATCTTCTTGATTTTTTTATATTTTTATTTGTTTTTAATTTTTTGTTTTTTTATTACATTCATCGCTCAATATAATTGTTATTGTTAGCTACTCATAATTTAATTTCATTTGTTCTTTCGAAGATTTCAAATGAAATTATATTATGAATTTCACTAGTTCAGACTTCCATTGTCTACTATATAAAATGATTTGAAATCCCTGAAACAACTAAAAAAGAAGAATTGAAAATGACNAAAATAGCTATTTTTTGATGAGCAGAAATATTGAAGTTGACTTGTTCCATTTCTTTCAAGTCTCCGGCAAAACAATGCAGTTCCATAGACTTATTGCGGTTTCCCCTCATTTTGATATATCCCATTCGAAATTTTCAGTATCACAATGTTAGAAGTTTGTCACAAATTTCTATAGACATTTAGGGCTGTTCATTGTTACCTGTGCCTCATATTAGCATAAAACATAGCTCTGTTTCCCTCTTGCATCATATCTGCAACCAAGGTCTTCGTGAAAAGATACGATGTTGTGGTTCTCAAATTTTGATGATTGTATGAGAATAGAAACTATCACAGACCACAGAATAGTGGGGTGCCACTCTATTCTAATCTCTATGATGGAATACTGAGGGTAGAAATACCAAAAGGAATTGCCTTACAGGTGAACTAACGTTGGTAGCGAAAGGAAGTACAGAAGATATGCTGACTAATAGAGCAAATGAGCAAGTTAGGTGGCTCAAAAGCAACTCAACATAGCAACTGAACAACCAAGAGATACCAATGAAGGAAAAAAAGGTGGTAGAAGCAATTTTTCTTTGAGTGAGTATTGGACCTGCAGAACACTTGAATATCTGAGAGCAGGTATCGCTAGATAATTGGCTTGTATTTAGTTACAACAGAGTAGAAAGTACCTCCAATAACAAAGGGTAAGAGACGACTCTTATATTCTGTAACACTATGGAGGATCGATACTGAAGAGTGCAATGGTGAAAATCACAGCGAACTGTGGAATAGTGTCCAAAATAGTTGGAAAAGAAAAGTGGTGATTGAAGAAGTCATGAAAAGTTGGCAGGAAATATGGAACAACGCTGAAGAAGAGAAGTGGACATAAAAATTGAAACGAGAAATTGAGAGCTGGTGCAATGAAAGTTCCTCCTCCAAGCGATATGCCAGCTATCCCTGAAACAATGTTCAATGACGGTACCAGAGAAAAGCATAGGAAGCTGATAAACAATATGACTAATTTACACACTGCTATGTATGAACTAGACCGTGGTGAGCAGAAGCAAATGGACCTGACCGATCTTTGAATTATATAAAATTAAATGGCTTCGTGATTAAGAAATTTAGTTACAACTTATGAACACGTTATGCAAATTCATCAAAAAAGAAGGAATTTTCAAGTCGCTGACAACAGACCTACATGGTGAACTGAATACTCATCTATTGTTTTTTTTTTTTTCGAAAAAAAAAACTGGTGAATACTTTACGATATCTTGAACTTTCCAATTCCATTCTCATTTCACTCGCGATAATATTTGTTGAATTGTGAACACAATTATCATTTCTTATGATAACTCGCATCCAAATGAAAATCGTATCCACCCCAAATGAAATGACGAATTCAATTAGATCCTGCTAGGCAATCAAGATGGAAATTATGCAAAAAATACTCACCGGTATGACGGAGGCGCTGTCGTCTTCGTCGGCCCCCTGCGAACAAAACACAACAATAAACAAAAGAGCATCGCGTATAAATTAGCGAGCGTTAGCGATAACATCGCCATTCGCTCTCTAAACGAACCAGTCACGCCGTTTTTATTAAGGAATTAAGGAGTTACAAGTGACGATGACGTTCTGGTCATTTGTCACCTAACGGGCGTAAGGGGAGGAATGTTTTCATAAAATTGAAATCAAAGTCCGCAGAGATATCATCGACAAAGAAAAAAACACAAAGTTCTATTAGCATTCTGGTGGAGATAACACAAAAACAATTAATTGTTACAACTTTAAAACGAAAACGCTATCAGACGAACTGACATCTATGAATATTTCATACGGAGCTCACAATCATGTACTATAATCTAAACGGAGTAGAATTAATGAAACGTGAGAAACGTGGTGAACTCCCAAACTCTGTTTTGGTCTCTATACTCTTCCTCTTCTATATCTACCGTTCTGATCTCTCCGCTCCCTCTTTACGGCCTATGTATTTCCATTTCTCTCCTTTACATTCTTTTCTCATCACTGTCTTAGCATAAATATCATCTATCTTTTTTAACAGATTCATTCCTATTCAGATTTATTACTGATTTAGTTCCATCATATTGATAAACTCTTCCATTACGGTTGTTTCTGCGTCCTCAAAAGTATATTTCCTAAATCATCCACCGGAAATATCTGCTAAGGTCGATCTATGGAGAAAGATAAAGGTACGATATCAATCCTGATACATCCAAGATTGGCCAAGTCATTTATGACTATCTATAATAACAAGCACTTGAACTAGAAGATGGAGCAGTTAGATAAGAGTTCTGAGGTGAAGAAATTATGTTTGCTTTCATTNTCTTCGATATTTTACTGAATAGCATACTGTCTTCAGCTACTCGTTATATTTTTTTCAAATTTCGAGTAGAAATATGGCATTTTTATTCAGAAGTCTAATTATCACAAATATGTTGGCTGAATTACCACTGGGACTTTTGATGATGATGAAAATATCAGTAATAAAGATCATCTAATGATATTCTCATTGAGACGATTTAATTTACTGCACTTATTGTATTTCTGCCAAATTGTTCAAGTTAATAACCAATAAATTAACGTGCTATTCTGAATCGACCAAAGAACTAGCGAGAGTAAAGGAAAGGGGGAGACACGTATGATGAAGACGAACAAAATGAAACAAGGAAATGAATGCAAAGGAAAAGAGTCCCGCCAAACCTACAGCATGTGGAAAAAATATCTTTGAAGGGATTGAGATAAAATCGAAACCGGTAGGTTGCTAACAGAGATCATCCTGGTTAATAACGATGAAATGCTGTTTGAATTTATTGATGGAATGGAGGGTCTTGAGTAAGAACAGATACCTCAACTATGTAGAACTAGCGAGAGTAAAGGAAAGGGGGAGGCACGTATGATGAAGACGAACAAAAGGAAACAAGGAAATGAATGCAAAGGAAAAGAGTTCCGCCAAACCTACAGCACGTGGAAAAAACATCTTTGAAGGGATTGAGCTAAAATCGAAAGCGGTAGGTTGCTAACAGAGATCATCCTGGGTAATAACGATGGAATGCTGTTTGAATTTATTGATGGAATGGGGGGTCTTGAGTAAGAACAGATACCTCAACTATGTAGAACTAGCGAGAGTAAAGGAAAGGGGGAGGCACGTATGATGAAGACGAACAAAATGAAACAAGGAAATGAATGCAAAGGAAAAGAGTTCCGCCAAACCTACAGCATGTGGAAAAAACATCTTTGAAGGGATTGAGCTAAAATCGAAAGCAGTAGGTTGCTAACAGAGATCATCCTGGTTAATAACGATGAAATGCTGTTTTAATTTATTGACGGAATGGGGGTTCTTGAGTAAGAACAGATACATCAACTATGTAGTTAGTCTTATGATCCTTACAGGGGGTAATCGGCGAAAGTAATTGTAAAAAAGGAAGAAATTGGTGAAGATGTGAACATTGGTGACGTGCCAAAACGGAGAGCTGATATTTCAGAGGTGCTGAGGAGCTGAGGAGATGATCTTGTAGTGGAAAGTCAAAGAGACTCGCAGAAATATTCAGTAGAGACATAGGGACACAAATTAGGGGCTTAGGGACACAATAGAATTATTAACATATGAAGAAAGTAGGGAAGACATCAGACATATTGTGAGGGGCTGTGAACTGAGTAACAGGTGAGAGGGAAAAGTGGAGTTAGGAACACCAAACAATACAGCCACAGGGCTATTTACAACGTGACAAAGAACTCACTATACGACTGAATGAAAAGGAGAATAGGTTGATGAACGACTGTGAAAAAGTATTATCTGCATTGGTTGGCCTATAGCATGAGAATAACCTTTTTCAAGGAAAATTTGTGAAACTATAAAGAAACTTTGAAACGTTTGATGAAAGAAATTCAAAAATATTTGGACACTAGTTTTTGGAATAGCAGAGTTAGGTAATTCGCTACGATACTTTTGTAAACACAGAATAATTTTGTAGCAGGCAGTTCATTTTCAGTGTTTTTGGTGAAAATAGAGATGGATCTTCATTTGTCAGTCCTTGCTAGGTCCTCTTCCATAACTTTAAGTTGACTGATGGGCTTGATCTTGGCAAAAATTATTGATAGTAGAGTTTTCAATTAAGAAGAAGTATGCCATTTATACAGACGTAGGCTCTGAAGGAAAAACATGAAAGCAGCCGGTGTCAATTGAGTAACAACACCCTGTGGCAAAAACAGTGACATCGAACTCGTTTCTGTATCACTGAAGAATATCCTTTCCTTGTTACACTCAAGATATATCTTCAATAAATAATTTTTCTATCTGAGGTTTCTCCCATTGAACTATTATCCGAAGATTTTGAAAAAATTGCACCACAACGTCATACTGCCGAGGCACCGTTACTCATCACATTTTTCTCATCAAGTATTTTCCCGCTGGCACGGTAAATTCTCTCGGCGGGCCGCCTATATTCCTCGCTCTATCTCGCTTGTCCATCTCTATTGTGTCGTACCAATAACATGTAGTAAATTGAAAAGATTATAAAATCAATTGGCTCTTTGTCAGTACCACGTCGAGGTGACAGTGTGACGGGCAAGGATCTCCGCACGGTCGTCCCATGATAAACGATGGTATTAATTCGTGGTAGGATGGTGAAGATAGTCCAGTCATTGCTGGTTTCGAGGCATCATTGATGGGAAATTGCTAAAATTATAACTATTGACATAGTTATTTCAAAAGAAGTTTAACTGAGTTGGACTTTGGACACGAAATTACTCTATTCAGTTGTTGGTGAGAGACAAGACGATCTTCAAAAAACTTCTCGCAGTAAGAAACTTTGCAAGTTAATCATTTCTTCATGTCAACTATTGTTAGTTGATATAAGGAATGATCTCTAGATTTATGCCTTTAAATGTTTAGTCATCATAATCTTTCAAATTCAATAGTAATTTCCATGTGCCGGTGACGAACTAGATATGAAAACATTGTCCACATTAACTGGGCTATAATAAGATCGACGTAAGTTGGCAATGGGAGGTCCAGGGTCGAAAATCTCTCCCGTTCCTTGTGGCGACATTTTTATGTGATGAGTGCCTACGCTGGACTGGCGCCATGTGAAAAAAAATCGTTAAATGATTCTTAGAATGATTTTTACAGAGCAATAAATTATTGTGACACCTTATTGAAGACCCTTTTCAGATGGACCGAAAAAAAGAGGGTGACCTTTGGCAGGGAACCCGATACATTTGTTGTTATAATAGGCGGTACTTTGCAACTGTGCACTTCACACAGAAACAGATAGTTACTAGTGTGTTGATGAATTTCTTTGTGGTGAATATTGAATCTAATTACTCAGTGAAGAAAACTTACGAATCATAATTTCAAATCAAAGTGACACACAAACTATATTATTTCCAATCTATATTATTTTCTGTCAGATTCGTCACTCTAGGTACGTCTTTCAAAAAAGTGAATGAAAAAACCTATTTTTATCATAATTATTGTGTAGTAAACTGCAAATCCGAACTGATAACTTGTGCGAGCTGAGGATTAACGAGGCCTTACCTTTCAACGTGTGATTCATGAGTTGGATTATATTTGATTATATTGGCGTGAAGTTATCCACAGATTTCTGACCACACATGCTGACCTAGAGGAAAATAAAAATATGTGGTTGGGATACCCGTACTAATATCTGTGGCAGGAAATACCTATTCACTATAGGTTGAACGTGGAATTATTAAGACTATTTGGTGTTTAACTTTTTTATAGAATCTTGAGTAGATTGACGCGTTGATAGACACTGTTTGTCACTGATTTTTGGTTGCTTAGCCTCCCACAATCTGAAAAATTAACAAAGACTAATCTATAGATTGCCCATTTTCATCTGTCTAATATGAACTGTAATATCTCAGTAAGTACCTATTCGAATTATTAGAAATAAGCGCTATTTGCTTCAGCGCACTTTTGCCAACTTAATACAATTCGTAATGAAGAAAAGAGAATTGGGACTTTCTATGTTTTTACCACTTTTATTTGTAACTGACGTTACCGCAGTTTCGTTCTATAAGGACATTTTCAAACTTATAAATTAAACCAAGGGTCTCCAAACTTTGAAGCCTTCGGGCCATAATGATTTTTTCAGTTGGTTCCAAGGGCCAATTTCTGCCATAAACTATATTTCTAGACAAGGATAGTCGCAAAGTGCGTGACCTAAGCAAACTTACGCTTTTTTGCATTTCAATTATTATTGTGTATTGTGACACTTATCGACATCTAGTGGCAAGTAGTGGTACTATATACCATCTTTTTCTACTACCCGCTAGGTGGCGTTAGGTGTAATTAAATATTTGGAATTACCGCGTTGGTTCGAGAAAGTTCTGAAAAACGATTATCAACGCGTCAATCTACTCAAGATTCTATAAAAAAGTTAAACACAAATAGTCTCAATAATTCCACATTCAACCTATAGTGAATAGGTATTTCCAGCCACAGATAT